TAAGTTCTGCACACAATATTTAACTGTGTGGTCTCAAGCTAGACAGTTTTAAGGGGGGCGGCTGCCCCTCCTGTCCCCCCCCCCAGTTCCGGTGTCCCTGTAAACAATGCCATTGATTTGACACTGCTTAACCTGCCCCATTCACCCCTGCCGCTGTTAGACTGTCACAACCTAGCATTGACAGCTAATAAGAATACAAACTGTTTTATGTGTATTATTTTATACAATTTTGAACGATAATATACCTGTCAACCATGGTACTAAGCTAATTTGATATTATTTCATTACTATTTTTTAACTGGTTTTAATTATCATACTACAATTTTATTACTTTATAAAGAACTATGTTGCAGTGCTACTATTTTTATATACTATTAGGTATTTTATTGTTATTTTATAACTATTTTATGGCTACATTCTGACTATTTTATTGCTATTTTATGACTATTTTACTATTCTTTTATTGCTATTTTATAACTATTTTATTACTACTTTCTGACTATTTTATAACTATTTTATTAATCATTTTAGAACTGTTATGACTCTCGACTATTTTATTACAATTTTATTACTATTTTTATACTATTTTATAAGAATTTTGAACTATTTTTTTACTATTTTGTTCGCTATTTTATCACTATTTTAAATTCTACTATTTTATCAGTATTTTATTCATATTTTTAAACTATTTTATTACTAGTTTTGCAGTAATTTTATTACTATTTTTAGTTAATATACTGCAGTTGATCCACTATTTTATATGTATTTTCGACTATTTTTTACCTATTTTATGTATATTTAAAATCTATTTTATTACCAATATTTCACTTTACTTTATTATTTTATTTCTATTTTGCGCTCTATTTTAAATATATTTTATCCTATTTTAAACCTATTTTAATCTGTGCTTCACCGATTCAGAAAAATAAAATCTATTTAAAATAGGCTATTTTTTGTTTCAAAAAAACCTATTTATAATAGCCATAAAATACAATTAAAACAGAGTTCTAATAGGTTTAATATAGGATTTGTATATGTGATGGCAATATGATAGGGTTAAAAATAAAATAGCTTTTCAATAGGAATAAAATAGAAAGTAAAATAGGGATAAAATAGGGTTAAAATAGTGTTGATTTTCGCAAGGGTTGCCATCATGATATTTGCTCATTTGCCATTTGGCATGAAGAACATATCATTCAACAGCTAAAAGCCTGATCATTCCGAATATGAAAAAATCTCGGTGATACGCAGCGTAATTCAGTTCGCAAGTAGGCCTATTATATAACGGCTTATGCATACAATCGTAGCTATCATCCTGCAGGGAAAAAATACATGTTTGCCAAGCGTTGGTTAAAAGGAATAAAATTAAAAATTAAAAATAAATTTATCGTTCTAAACATTGTCAAAAATATACGACATACAGTATATGCACAACACATCTTTGAAAGAACTGCACTTGTATTTGGTTGTTAATCCCATTGTTGTGGTCAATATTTGAATATTACAGAATAATTGGACGCAATGCCAGGGTATCGAGTGAGACAGACAAATATAAGCCAATACATTTTAGCAGTAGTGTTGCAAAGTGGACGTTGTAGGTTACTCTCTCCCAGTTAAATATATTGAAATTTTATTCTTGATTATTTGGTAATTTGCAGGGGAAGTGTCCTGTGCAATAAAGCTATACCAATAAGAATAGTGACTAATAGGATTTCGAACTGACATTAACCATCATAGGATATAGTATGCAGCATCATAGATATCTTACCGTAACGTACGCCCGTGCCCTATTATTTAGGCATCCGGACAATACTTCTAACAAATTCAATACTGTGCCCGAGTAATAAATGAAGATTAGCACTTATAAATGCAATTTTTGCATGGTTGGAATATGAACATAGCTTTAATAGTCATGAATATATAAAGAATATAATTATGACTATTAAGACTATAGTCATGTGAGTATAAAAACAATAGTAATTTGACTATTACAATTTCGAGTTGCCACATAGCATCTTAGGGTATCATACAGTATATTAGATATGTTACGTAATATTTCAAATCCGAGTTAGTGTTTTAGACGTGGTTTCTAAATACAAGTGCCATGGACAATGGCGAGGCGCAGCCGAGCCATTGTTCATGGCACTGGGGATTTGGAAGCCAAGTTTAAAACACTAACGAGGATTTGAGATTGCTTCTCACACATCATTAGATATTCATAGCAATGAGGCAGTAACAATAGCGAATTAAGTTGTTCAATGAAGCGAATGCGTAACGAAGAACGAATTAAAGGCGTTGTTATTGTAGTATTTGTTCCCCTTCGAAGGAAGCATGGCATCTAGTTGCAAAAAGAGGAGATTTCGAGATCCTCAAAGCGTGGAAAGAAGCATTGACAACGTCCTAAATGCTATTCCACAAAGAACGCGTTACAAAAATCGTTGGGGAGTTCGTATATTTGAAGATTGGCAAAGTGGGCGAGAAAATAAAGCAGTCATGTGTGAGAGCAACCCTTTCAGCTTAGATTTGCAGAATTTGCAAAATTTGGAGACAGAATTGTGTTCAATGACGGCAAGATCGTTAAACTTCTGGCTTATCAAATTTGTTCAAGAAGTTTGCGAAAAGGATGGCAAGCTATATCCCCGACGTACAGTATACCAAATTATATGCTCGTTAAAACGACATCTAGACGAAAATGGCCGGGCTGAAGCTAACATGTTAAATGCTAACAATCACTGGTAGGTTGAATTTGTTCATTTTTAATTAATGGTTTAGTTTAATTTATTGTAATGTGAGCTTGTATATTACTCAGTTTCCAGACGTTCAGAAGAGTGCTGGATAGTGAAATGAAAGCCACCTACCGGGAAGGCGAATCGCTTGCGGTGAATCGTACAAGACGAGAGAAAGAAGCTATTACAGATGATGAAAAGGGTTTGCTGTGGTCAAAAGGCTTGCTGGGAGACAAAACTGCTCAAAGTTTGGTTTACACAATTTATTTCTATATCGGAAAATATTCGGATTAAGAGCATGTGAACACAGACAGTTAAGATTAAGCAACTTTTTCGACCGAGCAAAACAGCGTATAAATTCGAAAATGCACAATTGGTATTCATAAGCTTAATTCTATTATTATTATTATTATTATTATTATATTCTATATTTTAACAGGTTAAGAGACAATGTCCACTAAAACCGAGCAAAATCGAGAATACGTGGCACATGAGGAAAAATAAAAAATCTTCTTATCTTTTCCAGTGATACTCTAATGTGTACTCAGAAACGTGGTGGGGTTTGTTTTCTGAAATATTATTTTAAACGCCGAAAATTATCAAAACCTCACACATACCCGAGATTCGCGAAATTAGCA